ATCTGACAAAATAACTAATCAGAAGAGACAAAGAAGGCCACTTCATTCTGATCAAAGGAACAATGAGCCAAGAAGATATTACAATCATGAACATATATTCACCAAAATCCGGTGCACCCAATTTCATAAAAACAGTACTACAGGACTTTAAGACCCAGATTAATCCCAACTCATTAATACTAGGTGACTTAAATACCCGACTATCTCCATTAGATAAGTTAAGACGGCAGAGAGTAAACAGAGAGACATCTGAATTAAACAATACCGTATAGCAAATGGACTTAACAGACATCTACCGAATATTCCACCCAAGCACCAAAGGACATATTTTCTACTCAACACACCATGGAATCTTCTCAAAAATTGACCATATACTGAGGCACAAAACAAACTTCAACAAATACAAAAAGATTGAAATAATTCCATGCATTCTATCAGACCACAATGCAATAAAGCTTACAGCTAACACCGGAAGAAGCCCTAGTCACCACGTGAACATATGGAGTTAAACAACACACTCCTGAATGATGAATGGGTCAAAAGAGAAATTAAGAAAGAAATAAAAGTATTCCTGAAACTAAATGAAAGGGACAAAATAACACAACAAAACCTCTGGGACACGCTGAAAGCAGTCCTAGGAGGTCCTTAGAGGGAAGTTTATAGCTCTAAGTGCCTACATCAAAAAATCAGAAAGAATACAAATAAATGACTTAACGTTGCAACACAACACACTTGAAAAGCAACAGCCACCTGATACTTGACAACGGGGCCAAGAATATTCACTGGAGGAAAGACAGCATGTTCAGCAAATGGTGCTGGCAAAACTGGATCTCCACTTGTAGAAGAATGAAACTAAACCCTTATCTTTCACCCTGCACAAAACTCAATTCGAAATGGATCAAAGACCTCAGTGTAAAGCCTGAAACTCTGAAACTCTTGGAAGAAAACATTGGGAAAAACATACAAGATACAGGTGTAGAAAAGGACTTTCTAAACTTGACACCAATAGCCCAGGAAACAAGGGCAAAAATTAACAAGTGGGACCTCATTAAACTAAAAAGCTTCTGTACATCAAAGGAGACAACCAAGGAAACAAAACAGAAAACCCACAGAATGGGAGAAAATCTTCACCAGCGACACATCTGATAGAGGTTTAATTACCAGAATATATAAATCAAAGGAGGCAACCAGGGAAGCAAACAGAAAACCCACAGAATAGGAGAAAATCCTCATCAGCGATACATCCGACAGAGGTTTAATATACAGAATATATCACGAACTCAAAAAACAGAGAATCAAGACAAGAAGCAATCCAATTGAAAGATGGGCTAAGAAGCTGAACAGAAAGTTTTCAAAAGAAGAAGTAAAGATGGCTATGAAACATCTTAAAAGATGTTCAACA